TGCTTCTATCATCCAGTTTTTGTCTTCTAGCTTCTGGAACGTGTTTGTAACGGACATAGCCAAACACCTTCAGATGAGTGACACTCTGCTTATCTCCAGTCCATTTCTCTAAAGGAACAGCTTCCTTCAGTTTCTTCGTTGGACACCTGTTCAGAATGTATGCTGATGTGGCAACAGCTTCTCCCCATAGCACGTGAGGTAGCTTTTTCTCTTTCAGCATGCTTCTGGTCATATCAAGTAGAGTTCTGTTTCTTCTTTCAGCAAGACCGTTGTGCTGAGGAGTATATGGAGCAGTAACCTCATGTTCTATTCCATTTTCCTCACAAAACTTCTGAAACACAGTAGAGTTATACTCACCTCCACCATCTGTTCTCAGAATTTTTAACTTCTGACCACTCTGCTTCTCAGCCTTCACCTTGAATTTCTGGAACTCAGTAAACACTTCATGCTTGAACTTGATAAGTGTTACCCATGTCATTCTTGTGAACTCGTCCACAAAAGACATAAAGTAATTGTTTCCTCCAAGTGAAGGTACTGGAAATGGTCCACACACATCAGAATGTACTACTCCCAGAGCATGTTTTGCTCTGGGGGCTACTTCTGATGTAAATGGCAATCTAGGTTGCTTACCTTTCATGCATATCTCACATGACTTATCAGGCTTCACAATTTTCGAAATACCACGTACGAGCTTCTTATAACATAGATGCCCTAAGCTTCTATAGTTTAAGTTCCCTAACCTCTTATGCCACAGCTTACTGTTACTTTCAGCACCTTCTGCACTAAGGCACGTTGCTTCAGCTGTTTCTACATTCACCTTGAATGTTCTGTTGCCTCCTTGTTCATATTTCATAATTAACTTCTGATTGGAATCATACAACGTCAGAAGATTGTTTTTCATAGCAACTGAAAAACCTTTCTCAATCAGCTGACCTACGCACATCAGATTGCTTCTAATACCAGGAACATACCAGACGTCTTTGATCATAATGTCTTTCCCATTTTTCACTCTAATTCTGACATCTCCTATACCTTCTGCATTAAGATACTTATCGTCAGCACATCTGATCTTTGTACTCCTTCAGGAGTCAAAGTCTGTCAGCCATTGTTTGTTTCCAGTTAAATGATTTGAGCAGCCAGTGTCCATATACCACCAATCTTCTGAGCATTTTCCATCAGAGTCAGAGGCCATTAACAGTACAGGTTCATCATCAGAGTTTCTCTTAGCCATATATGCTTCTTCTGATTTCCTATCCCTGGCAAAGTGGCCCAATTATTTACAGGAGTAACATTGAACCTTCCTTTTGTCATACCTCTCTTTTCCTTTATGATACTTCTTATCATCAGAAGTTGAGGCTTCTGACTTCTGGAATCTATCACCACATTTATTCTGCTTCTGGTCTTTCTTGACAAAAGAAGCCTTCAGAGCTTGCTCAGCTTCTCTCTCAGAAGTTCTCTCAGACAGACGTAACTCCTGTGCTTCTAAGCTGCTTTGTAATTCTTCTATTTTCATGGTTTCCAGATCTTTTGAATGTTCAATAGAAACAACAATGTAATCAAACTGAGGAGTGAGCGACCTCAGAATCTTCTCTATGATTACCTGTTCAGTCAGAGTTTCTCCACACGCCTTCATCTCGTTGGTGATCAGAATCACTCTGGAGATATATTCAGAAACTTTCTCACTGCTCTTCATGTTCAGGTTCTCATATTGCTTTCGTAGGGATTGAAGCTTCACCTTCTTTACTGATGCGTCACCACCGTAACATCTCGTCAGTAAATCCCACGCCCCTTTAGACGTTGTTGAATCAGCAATCTTCTCGAACACATTTTCATCCACCACTGATGGATATAAAACAGAGCTTTCTGGTCCCTCTTTTTCATTAACCTCTCAGCAGTTCTCTGTTCTTCAGTTGCATCTGCTGCAGCTGGTACATAACCATCTGTAACCAAATCCAAAACATCTTGTGCACCGAACAGTACACGCATTTGTATCATTCATCTGTTCCAGTTTTCGCCATTAAAAACCGGAAGTTTAGTGTTCAAACTACCGTCTCCACTCATTTTAAACCTTGCTTTGATTTTTAGATCTTAAACTCACTGTTTCTCAACCAACAGAATCAAAATTCTGTTCAGAATTTTGTTCAAGATTTCAACAGAAAATCAAAGAACAAAACTCAAACACACAGCTCACAACCACTCGTGTTTCTCAGGAAAAACAGAACCAAAAGCTCTAGATACCAATTTGTTGGTGCAAGGTAATGAAGGAGAGATAAAGAATGAACAATGAATGATAACAAAGAGGACTACTTCTTAATATTCAAATAGAGAAATGAATTTGGGATACAATATTGATAGCCTAGGTAGCATATTTATACTAGAAATTGAAAATGCAAAAAGACCCTAATAAATAGTAAGTATTGGGAATTGTGGACATTAAATAAATTACATTTCCAATAGAAATAAAAAAAAAAACTTGTTGGTGCAAGGTAATGAAGGAGAGATAAAGAATGAACAATGAATGATAACAAAGAGGACTACTTCTTAATATTCAAATAGAGAAATGAATTTGGGATACAATATTGATAGCCTAGGTAGCATATTTATACTAGAAATTGAAAATGCAAAAAGACCCTAATAAATAGTAAGTATTGGGAATTGTGGACATTAAATAAATTACATTTCCAATAGAAATAAAAAAAAACAGATTGTTAGAAATAGTTTATTCAAACGAATACAATATTTTTTTATAAAGAATAATAAAATCAATTATTCCATGTTGCAGAACCACAAAAACATTTTTAAATTGAGATGAAGAAAAGTAATCCAAAGAAAAATTTCATAACAATAAAATGGAAATTAAATATTGCTGGTATGATTTTATTTGAAAGAAACTATAAGTGGAAGAAGGAAATTAAACAAAATAATAATAATCTAATAGGTGTGATTATATTTAGACAAAAGCATGTGTATTCTAGTTCTAGAAAGTTGACTTCGTAGAAGCTGATAAACTTTTATATTTGAAGGCGGTAAAATGATGTGTATCTTTATTACAGCAATAATAAAACAACATATATTAAAATAATTATAAACATAAAATATGATTAAAATAATAATTAGAATTTATACTATAGAAGAAAATAAGAATTTATATCCAAAAAGAAACACATAAGTATTATTATTCTAGAATTGTGAAGAAAGAGGAAGGAAATTAAACTAAAAAATTAAAAATTAATAAAAAAATAAAAATATCTTAACATAAATATGTGTTATAGTATTTAGAATTTAGATGCTCCATATGATTGCAAGAGATATATATTTCAATTTTTGTTTTAAGATTGTTACTTGTACGAGTTTGGATCGATTAGACTCTTATTCAAATTGTAAAACCTATAAAATAATAATTAAAAATTATATTATAAAATATGAATTTAAATATGATCAAAATAATAATATAAAATTGAAAAATAATGAACATTAAATAGATTTGAATAGATGTCAAAATAGAGAACCTTGAGCTTATGAATTAGATAAAAATAGAAAAATCAATTCTTTTTTGGAATCGGTGTAGAATAATTTACTCATTTATCTCATACTTTAGTCAAATTATGTATCAAATTTTCAAATATACTGTGAGAAAGAAAATGAGAGGAATTTATCTATTTAAGAAAGAAAATGAGACAAATTAATCTATTTAAGAATAATAAAATAATATTATGATAGGATATGAAAAATAAATTGACTGATTTATAAAACTCTTCATTTTCAAAACATTAATTTTAAAAATAATTAAAAAATATATAATTAAAAAATTATAACAAATTTTTGTTCCAAAAATAAATTGTAACTAAAACTAAAAACAAAAAATTAAATACATTAGTAATTATTATGAGCACACATTTTTAATAAAATAAATAAAGTAAGAATAAAATCATTTGTTACTTTATTGATAATAACCAAAAATATTTAAAAAATGATTATTAAAAACTTTATTGATAGTAACTAAAAAGAATATTATTTGTAGTTTTTAAGAATAAAATAATATAACAACATTGTAAATAAAATTAAAATTTGTAATAAAAATTAATTAATTAATTAGATCAAAATCTTCCTTTTTAACTTTCTTTCTTTTATTTTATTATTTCAAAATTCGAATTTTCTAATTTATTTATTAATAATAACTTTATTTAAATATGGTAATCTAATCGATGAAAATTCTCTAATTTACAAATTTATATTAAAATTAATAAAATAGAAACTCATAAAGATGACTTCATCGTTATAGTGTATTAATTATTATTTGATGATTATTAAAATGAAATTCATTTTTTTGTACATATTATAATCATTGTAGTGTTAGTTACAATGTTAGTGATTATTAAAATGAAATTTATTTTTTATTTTTTTAATTAAAGTTAAAAGAATGAAGAGTTTTATAAATAAAATATAATTATATAATCTAGAAAAGTGTTTTAAGAATATAATATTAATGATAATACTAGTTATAAATGTACTAAAATTCTTTAAAGAATATTATATTATTATTATTATATTATTATTATTATTATTATTATTATTATTATTATTATTATTATTATTATTATTATTATTATTATTATTATTATTATTATATATTTAATATTATTTTTGTAATGTATGATCAAATTAGTAAATAACATATAATGATTTTTATAAAAAATTATTATCATGATAAAATTTGATTAAGATTTTCATCATAACAATTTTGAATTTATATTATACTAGTATTTTAGTATTTGTTAGTTGTCCAAAAGGGTGCCCAACTATTGACATTAATAAATCAACAATTTTTAAAGATAAAATAAAATTATTTGACCAGTAATATGATTATTATAATAACTTTGATTTTCCATTTTAATTTAATATAATATACCCACAATTTTTAAGAAAATTTGAACTGGCTATAAATATAGGTGTAATTGTTGGTTGATATATTGTGATAAAAAATCAATATCATTAGAAAAATGAAATCCACATCAGTTTTCATGATTTGCTTGTCCCTCATATTTTTTGCTGCTGCTCCAGCATTATCTGCCACCTTGTATGAAAGTGTATGCTATTTAATAACAAGGCAACAAGATGTTAATGATTGCTTGATTCTCTTGAATCAAGACTCAAGAATCACTTCAGCCACAAATTATCATGATCTCTCAAAGTTCATCTTGGAGCTGGCAGCAACTACAGCAAGATCAGTTTATGCTTATCTTATAAAAGAGGGATCTGACTTTCCCAATGATCAAGCTATTAGACAGTGTGCTTCTGTTTTCTACCCTGCGACTATAGTAGGATTCGAAAATGCATTGGCTAAGTTGGATAAAAATGATCCTCAGAGTGCAAAAAATGATATACAAGCTGCTGGTAATGGACCTGGGTTGTGTGAGAAAGCTCTTCAAGGAGAGAAGTTTTTTAATCCTCCAATGACTGTTCGAAACAATCAAGTCTTTGTACTTAGTGAAGCTGCTCTTTTGTCTGTAAGCCATCTTACATAGATAAGGCTTATAGCTTCAAATTAAGGATTTCTAATGTAAGCTAATAAAAAAGACTAAATATATTTTTTTTATTTGTTTTTATTTGCAAAATGTTTTACCATTTCAATCTTAATTTTATAAGGTGTTAGCTAATGGTTAGATGTTAACATTGTAACATCAACACAAAAAGTTCAACTTATTATTAGAGCGCTATAATATAATTTTTAGAATCTGTTTTATGCGCATGATATAAAAATATACAAGATAGGATAAAGAGTTGGATATGGATGGCATGTAATAGTGACATTTTAAGATAAATGTTAAATTTAAACTATAAAATATTATGTTATATGGTGAAGTCATATTCTTATTAATCAAAATTATGCCTAAAGTTTTAAAATTCTATATAGGAATGTATTATTTATGCCACTTACTTTGGTAACTTTATAATTATAAATATTGTAATTAAGTTTAATATTTATAATGAAAATCAATTAAAATAAAATAATTAAAACAACTTTAATTTAATCTTTCTCACTACATCAACATCATATTCATTTTCACTCTCTAAACTGAAATCCTAATTTTATTTTCGTCCTGTATTTTTTGAACAACTTGAAATTATTCATCGTGTTCGTCCGCCATTTTTTGAATATCACAAAGCTATTCATCGTTCTCATTTGAGGTTATCTCATTCTTTGCCAACACTGCATACGAACATCGACACAACATTTATTGTGTTCGTCCCTATTCTTTTGAGGTTGTCTCATTCAATCGCTCACCAAACATAACACTGTAGCGGTGAAAATTGGAGATCAAGCTATTAATTAACTTGGATCACAAATAAGCAAGATTCGCCACCGCGCTTTATTATTTCCAAAAGAAAAGGGAAAAGTGCGAAATAAAATCCATAAATATGCAAAATATAAACAATACTAAAAAGTAAAAATACAATGCATCTGAAAGAGATCGAATATTCAGGGATTGGTTATACAAAGGGAAGGTACTAGCACCATATGTATCTACAGTATCCTAGAGGAACCTTTTGAAATATTTGGTTTTTGGTTAAAATTAGTTTGCTTGCTAAATGGGTGTGGAGATGATATTTTACAAACGCAATGACCTAATGTCGAAGTTTTGGCTTAAAAAAGTGTAAATTTGAAAATAGGATTTTAAAGATTTTAACTAATGGGAAACAAATATGAGAGACAAAATATAAAGACTCATAATTACATTAGGTCAACGAGACGATCTTTTCCCTTGGATTCTAACATAAAGATAATAATCAAATGAAGACCGGACAATAACCATGCATCAGATAAAAATGGATAGTAACCATAGTCCAAGGATTTAAAGAACCAATTTTAGATTTTTTTTCTTTATTAAGTGGCTTATAACAAGGAAAAGAAAATAAGAAGGTCAAGTGAGCAAAGAGAAGATAAATGCTCAATTGAGAAAAGAAAAAATGCATAAAGTAAAGAAAATAAAATGCTATGAGTGATAAATCGCATAAAAGTAAAGAGATGAAAATATAAAGTGCGGGAATATAAATGATATTAAAGTAAAGTTAGGACAATATAAAGTTAATAATATGATTTGGGATAAGTTTAACTTCATACAGAGCATAGAATGTATGCACGCATACATGTTAGAGAAATGACACTTTGAATTTTATTCTCTTATACGTGAAGTACAATTAACAAACACGGGGATCAAGACAAAGTCAAAGAAGATACATTATGACAAACTTATCATCAATCACAAGTACCTTGAATGATCAAAGGACCATTTAGAGGTAGATTGGAAATGATGAAAGTTCATCAAATATCCGAAAATCTTAGATGAACTAAAAAAATCTCAAATGCTTTTCAAATTGATCCAAATAAAAATAAAAATAAAATAGATATAGAAGAATAAGATGAAGTCTATAATAAAAATAGTGTAAATGTCAATTTTCTCAATTTTTCATGAAATTAAACAAATGAGTAACGAAATTTTATCAACTCAATCTCACGACCAATGATCCGTGTTCAAAATAAGTAAATAAACAACAACAAAAATTACAGAAAAATATGAAAATTAAACAACAATAAATTATTTTTGCTTTTGGAGGTTCAAGAACACTTTTCAACTCTTGATTTTGAAAATGGTGATAATTATGGTACTAAATAAATAAAGAGTAAAAATGCAAATGAATTAAACAAATAACAAGTATAATAGCCTACCTATTCAATAAAAGGAAGAAATGACTTGAAAGAAAACAAAGAGAAAAAAAAAAGAGTTTTCGCTAAGTTTAGTGAGTGATTTGTGGTATTGTCCCCCCAAATGAAAGAAAGTAATGTCTTATTTATAGGGTGAATGAGGTGGGAGTGTTGATGTGACAATCCATGTGACTTTATAAGAATGGTTCTTGATCATTGATAAGTCTAAGTTGGCAATCCATGTGATGTGTCTAAATGATTCTTGGTCATTGATAAGTACAAGTTTGCAATCCGTGCGAAGTGTTTATACTACAATATAGTGGTCCCAACTTTTCTTTATTGACACAAAAAACAAACAAAAAAACAAAGTAATAATAATAATAATAATAATAATAATAATAATAATAATAATAATAATAATAATAATAATAATAATAACTAAAAGTGTTAGTAATAATAATAAATATAAAAATAGAAAATAAAAGAGATATTAAATTAATTATTTATGATTTTTTTTCTTGAACTAAAATAAATGAAAATATAAGTGCAAATTAAAAGATAAAAAATAAAATACATATAAGAAATCAAAATAACATATAAATTTAAATTAATAAAAGAATATATTTTTGATAATTTTTAATAAATAGGTAAAAATAGTAAATAAAAATGACATGATGCTAAGTATATTTTTTTGTGATTTTTTATATGGAAAAGAAATCATGAATAAAATACAATAAAAATCAAATTTCACTAAATTCATAAACAACGGTAAACTACCAACTCAATAGTTGAAGGTAGAAGATCAAACAAGATACCGACTCATAGATGACGGTAAACTACCAACTCAATAGTTGAAGATAGAAGATCAATAAGATACCGACTCACAGATGACGATAAACTACCAACTCAATAGTTGATGGTAGAAGATCAATAAGATACTGACTCATAGATGACGGTAAACTACCAACTCAATAGTTGAAGGTAGAAGATCAAACAAGATACCGACTCACAGATGATGTTAAACTATCAACTCAATAGATGAAGGTAGAAAAGTAAGATACCGGCTCACAGATGACGATAAACTACCAACTCAATAGTTGAAAGTAGAAGATCGATAAGATACCGACTCATAGATAAAGGTAAACTACCAACTCAATATATGAAGGTAGAAAAGTAAGATACCGACTCACAAATGACGGTAAACTACCAACTCAATTATCGAAGGTAGGATCGAAAAAGATACCGACTCACAAATGACGGCAAACTACCAACTCAATGGATGAAGGTAAAACAGTAAGGGATACTGACTCACAGATGATGGTAAACTACCAAATCAATAGATGAAGGTAGAAAAGTAAGAGATACTGACTCACAGATGACAATAAACTACCAACTCAATAGATGAAAATAGAAAAGTAAGAGATATCGACTCACAGATGACGGTAAACTACCAACTCAATAGAGGAATGTAGAAAAGATAATAAACTTTTCCACGACGAACGGGTTTCAGTTTCTTATTTATCAATTCTTCCACTTGAAAAGGATAATATACAAACTTCTCTACGGGAATTTTATGAAGAGATACCATTTGTTATTGATGAGCAAAGTTCTCAAAAGAGATACCATTTGTTGTTGATGAGAAAACTTCTCAAAAGAGATACCACTTGGTGTTGATGATCAAACTTCTCAAAAGAGATACCATTTGCTGTTGATGAGCAAACTTCATAAAAGAGATACCATTTGCTGTTGATAAGAAAAATTCTCAAAAGAGATACCATTTGTTGTTGATAAGAAAACTTATCAAAAGAGATACCATTTGTTGTTGATGAGCAAACTTCTCAAAGGAGATACCATTTGTTGTTGGTGAGCTAACTTCTTAAAAGAGATATCATTTGTTTTTGGTGATCAAACTTTTCAAAAGAGATGCAATTTACCGTTAATGAGAAAATTTCTTAAAAGAGATACCATTTGTTGTGTAAACCTCCCCAAGAACCTGGTTACAAGCCACAAACTGGTCTCAGTTTCTTCTTAATCAAGTCTTCCACTTAAAAACGACAATATACAAACTTCTCTGCGGGAATTTTCTGGAGAGGTGGTGTTTGTTGAGTAACCCTCCCCAAGAATCTGGTCATAAGCCACGAACAGGTCTCATTTTCTTCTTAATCAAGTCTTTCACCTGATAACGATAATATACAAACTTCCCCACAGGACTTTTCAGAAGAGATGTAGTTTGCTGAGTAAACCTCCCCAAGAACCTGGTCATAAGCCAGGAACTGGTCTCAGTTTCTTCTTAATCAAGTCTTCCACTTGAAAAGGATAATATACAATATTCTCTGCGGGAATTTTCTGAAGAGATGCCATTTGCTGAGTAAGCCTCCCCAAGAACCTGGTCATAAGCCACAAACTACTCTCAGTTTCTTCTTAATCAAGTCTGCCACCTGATAAAGATAATATACAAACTTTCCCGTGAGACTTTTCCAAAGAGATGTCATTTGTTGAGTAAACCTCCCCAAGAACCTAGTCATATGTCACGAACTGGTCTCAGTTTCTTCTTAATCAATTCTTCCACCTGAAAAGGATAAAATACAAACTTCCCCACGGGACTTTTCCAAAGAGATGTCGTTTGCTGAGTAAACCTCCCCAAGAACCTGGTCATAAGCCACAAACTGGTCTCAGTTTCTTCTTAATCAAGTCTTCCACCCGATAAGGATAATATACAAACTTCCCCATGGGACTTTTCTAAAGAGATGTCATTTTCCGAGTAAACCTCCCCAAGAACCTTGTCATAAGCCACAAATTGGTCTCACTTTCTTCTTAATC